CAACTAACAGTGATTCTTCTTTGTTAGCAACTGTTGCATTCCAATCGCCAGGGATAATTAACACATCTTGTGTGGTAGTTCAGTTTATGTGTCAACTTGGCTGGGCCTGATTGAGTGGCTGGGCCTGGATGTAGTATTCCCCATGATGAAACTGGTAATTAACTCCATGGTGGAATGTACTTTGAGCAGCTGAGTAGCTGCCCTAGAGATGTGGTCTGCTTCCTGTATATAAGGAGAAGCCTTGGGGAACAATCTCTAGCTTACAGCACACTTGAACCCTGCATATAGCCATGTCATTGTTCAGCAGCCTGCCATGCTCTGCCGACCTTGGAACTTGCAATGGACTTGAATTAATGACCTGCTGTGTGGTTTGGTAACATCAGGACTGTGCCATTTTATTTGTTGACCTTGGGCTTGTTAGCCTCAGCAGGTAGTAGCAGCCTGAGTGAAGAGATGCCTCTAGTTTCCATGGGCCGGGAGCAGGAGGCAGAACTGAAGCCCAAGGTTGAGCCCCTAGAGCCTGGGACCTGGAACTCAGACTTCTAGCCTCCCGAACTGTAAAAGAATAAACTCCTGTTTGTTCAATCCATCCCATTTGTGGTTGTCATTTGCCACTCTTGTCAGAGTGGCACTATGTAACCCAAACATCTTGATTGCATATTCGGTCAATTTCAGACTGCTGAAGCTGGTAAAAATCTTCAATTTCCTTATTTTTGGCTTTGGTGGTTGGTGTGCAAATTTGAATAATAGTAGTATTAACTGGTCTTCCTTGTGTTGCCCATGTTAGGTGCCGTCGAGTCATCTTCAACTCATAGCGACGCTATGCACAGCAGAACGAAATGCTCCCCAGTCCCATGCCAGCTCCACGACCCTTGCTATACTTGAGCCCATCACCACAGCCACTGTGTCAATCCATCAGTCTTCCTTGTAGGTGTATGGATATTATCCCATCACCGACAGCATTGTACTTCAGGATAGATCTTGATACGTTCTTTGTGATGATGAATGCCATGCCATTCTTCTTCAATTTGTCATTCCCATTATAGTAGATCATATGATCTTCTGATTCAAAATGGCAAAAACTGGTCCATTTCAACTCATTAATGCCTAGTATATCAGTCTTTATGTGTTCCATTTTATTTTTGGCAGCTTCAACTTTTTCTAGACTCATGCTTTATATATTTCATGTTCTGATTACTATTGGATATTTGAAGCTATTTCTGCTCATCTTGAGACGTCCTGCATCAGCAAATGGGGGTCCCAATAGCTTTACTCTATCCACATCATTAAGGCTGGCTCTACTCTGAGGAGGCAGCTCTTCTCCAGTCATATTTTGAGTGCCTTCTGACCTGAGAGGCTCATCTTCTGGCACTCCATCACACAGTGTTTTAGGGCTAGTCATAAAGTGTTCCAGTAATATATCAGACAGTGTTTCACTGTTGTTCATAAGGTTTTCACTGTCCAGTTGTTTGAGAAGTGGATGGCCTCTTCCTTCTGAGTCTGTCTTAGTCTGAAAGCCCCACTGAAACCTGTCCACCATGAGTAACCCTGCTGGCATTGTAACACCGGTGGCCTAGCCTCCAGCTTCACAGCAACACTCAAGCCACCACAGTAAGACAAACTGACAGACAAGCTTGTCTTCCTTAGTTGTTCCAACTGCTCTGCTCATTCCTGGTCTCCCTCACCCTGCTTGCTTACCCGGCCAGCCCCCAGGGCTCAAACACCTGCCTTCCCCTCAGGCTGGCTTACTGCACCCTGCCTCCAGGGTGCTCCTCACAGGCAAACTCCCACCTCCCATTGATCCCAGGGCTGGCTTACTGTGGCTCCCACTGGGGCACTCCTCGCATGCAAAATCCCACCTTCCACCTTCTTTACACATATGTAAATATATGTGTGTGTATAAACTCCAGGAGTACCTGAGTAGTGCAAACAGTATATTCAGAAGCCCATCATGCTTTGTCATTTCTGCTTCTACAGTGTAGCCTCTACCCATCTCTGCCTCCACTCCACCACGAATCGAGATACTAATCTTGACTGGATGATATCGTATGGGAAAGTATCAGCTTCAAATTCCATCCATATGATGATGTTGCCCTTTGTGGTCAATCACTTTTTTACTATGTAGTTATTTATTGCTTTAATTTTTGTTTCTGTAATCAGTTTGTGTTTTTCAGTCTTATTTGATTCTATCCCTGGCATCAGAGTTGGTGCATGGGAATCTGAGCCAGTTTGATAAGCATACTATGTATTTATTTATAGGCCATTCACATTTCTTGTAAATTGTATGCTTTTTTCCTCTGCTCACTTGTTTATTGGTTAATTTATTTTTAATTCCTTAATGATTTGTAAGACTTCATTATATACACATGATTAACTGTTTTGTCTTGAGTGGCAAATAAATCTCCCAATCTGTTTGTCTTTTTACTTTTTTCATGGTGTCTAAAAAAAAAGTTGAGATTATTTGTATTACTGTTATTTTATGAAAACTACCATTTTATCAATGTGTTTTTTTTTTCCCTACATTAAAAGAAAACACTGTTATCTAAAGGCACTTTTATATTTGGAATGTGCTTTCTATCTCCTAGTAAGGTAAGTAACTATGTGGTTCGTAGATCCTTTGTGGAGAGTCAATTACTTCTCTTTATTTTCCCTAGGCCAGTGCCAGTAGGTTCTGACACATAGTGACCCTATATAAAATAGAAGGAAACACTGCACAGCCCTAGGCTCTAGTTTCCTCCCTTTTTTCTCTAATACTGTTGGGGAGACGCAACCTTAAATTAAGGTTATACAACTAGGTGCTTGGTCTTTTCACCTCTATTTCTTCTTCTCTCTCTTTTTATTTTCCTCACTTTTTTCTACCTTTCTATCCCTGCAGCACTCAATCTGTGAATAAGGGGTGCTTATGTATCTTACCTGAAATCAAATAAAAAGTGGTTTTTGTTAAACACCATCTTTTAATCATTTATACCACTTCTTTCTTAGTCCCTTTACCTTGGAGACATAAATACTAGTGGTGATTTTTTTTTTTTTTTTTTTGTCTTTTTAATTTATTTCTAAGTGGTTATTGTTAGTTGTCATCTAGTTGTTTTCAACTCATGGCAGACTCATGTGTGCAGAGTAGAACTGCTTCATTGGATTTTCAAGACTGTGATCTTTGGGAAAAAGAAATAGTTAACCAGGCCTGATTTTGAGGCACCTCAAAATCCCCTGGTTTGAACAGCCAGCCTTTTGGCTAGCAGTTGATCACTTAACCATTTGTGACACTCAGGTCCTCCTGGTACTTTGCAAGAATTGGGGAGCTGCTCTGAGATGGGAGAAAGTTTAGGGATAAATCAATTTCATTGATTCATGTTTAAGTAAAAAACTATTTAACATATAATTTTCTTTTCAATGTGGATAAAATCAACTGTATTTTTCTCTCAGGAAACAGATAGATAAACTTTGTGATCTCTGCACTTACTACTCTTCATCCATAGAAGATGTTAACATTGATATTGAGGAGAAGGAACAGGCAGCGACTGAGGCATTGAAGGAAACAACGTCATCAACAAATGAATTAGCTGCTTTATCAAAAAAGGTGAGTTCTTCTATATTTAAAAATAAAAAAAATACTGATTTTAGTTATGAGCCTGAATATGAAATCTTCCTCTCTGCCAATAATTGAATAGCAGTTCACCAATTTTCTGTTTCATTACTTTTCTATTGTCATCACAACAAATTGTCACAAATTTAGCGGTTTAAAGCAGTGCCTATTTATTATTTCAGAGTTTCTTTGGGTCAGAAGTTAGGGCACAGCGGGGCTTCACTTGCTTCTCAGCTCCAGGTCATACGAGACCAAAGTCGCGTTATCAGCAGATCTGTGTGTGTTCCTTTCAGGATATTTGGGGAATCAATCTGCCTTCAAGCTCTTTCAGGCTACTGGCAAGATGAAGTTGCTTGAGGTTACAGAACTGAAGTCCTTGTTTCTCTGTGGCTATCAGATGAAGTGTAGGGGTTGAGGATTCTCAGCTTCTAGAAGTTGCCGACATTCCCTGGCTCAGGGCTTCCTTTATCATTAAAACCAGCAGTGCTGGGCTGACTTCTTTTCAGTGTTTGAATCCCCCTGACCTTCTCTTCTGCTTCATCTTCCTGCTTTTCTCTTCTGCTCCATCTCATGAACTCTAGTGAAAGGAAATAATTTTAAATGGAAATAATAAAATACTAAATGAAAATAGCAGTATGGTAAACGAAAATAACAAGCACATTCCTCTTCCAATTTATGGTTCCCATCTAGTATTTAAAAGATCTTTTCTTGCCGCTTTTTATTATAAGGTCTTTAATTGTACCTCAGTATGAGTTTTTATTAATTACCAATAGAATTGAGCTTATTTTAATGGTTTTTCTGGGGATCGTTTGTATTTTCTTTTCTATGAAAATACTCATGTTTTTTCTTGTCCCATAGGTTGGGTGGTTGCTTATCTTTTTAATTGATTTGTAAGAATTTGTTGAATATTATGCATACTAAACTTTTCATGAATTGCATATGTTAAAAATATTTCCTCCCTGTCTTCATTTCTTTATGGTAACTTCTGATGACAAGACATTTAGGTTTTACTATAGTAAAATTTATAAATATTTTTTGTTGAGCTTCATGTTTTTTTGGACTGTCTTAAGAAAGTTTTTCTAATGCAAAGTCATAAAAAAGATTATGCCATTATTTTATTTTAAATGTTTTTAAATTTTGATTTTCATTTTATATGATTAATCAATATGAAATTAATGTATGAGTATAGTATAAAGTACATCACCAATTACATTTCTTCTCATACAGAAAAGAAACTATTACAATAAAATTTCTTGATGTGTCTTGTCATAGAGCAATATCCTGGGGTCTGCTAGAGTAAAAGCAAAAGAAGTTTATTGAGGAATAGAGATACCCTGGACCTGGAAGATGCTCATATTCACAGAGTGAAATGGCCATGAAGTAGAACAATGAGGAAAAATACATTTTTGTATAGTTAGAGCAGGAACTTAAAAAAAGGTTAAAAAAAAATCATGATTGGCTAAAAGACAACCAGGGGAGTCAAAGACAAGGTATCTAAAAATTGAGGATTTGGCAAGGATAGGTGGATAAGCCATAAGTGGGATTGCATGATGGTTTAATTATAATTATACACACACACACATACACCCTAAACTCACTGTCAAGTCAATTGTAACTCATAGCAACCTCTCCTTGGGTTTCTGAGGTAGAATCCCTATGGAAGAAAATTGACCAATCTTCCTAACGAGGAGTGACTGGTGGGTTTGAGCCACCAGGTTTCTGATTAGCAGTCAAATGCCTTAGGCACTATGCCACCAGAGCTCCCCTTCAATTTATTATAGAATGGTCACAAGACAATGGCAGGACAGGTTTTTTCTGGTAACTTGTGTAGTAAAATTGCTTCCTCAATCATGTCTCTTTTCGGAGCTCTATTGTAAAGATTTATCGATAATGCTGTCCATTAAGGCCCTTTGAGTATAAGCTATCATCTCTTACATTTTTCTGACTATAATGGAAAGACTTTTCTGGGAATAGATTGTAATATCCTGGGCCTGTCAGACCTCAGAGAAAAAGAATGTTTCTTTTAGGGTATACGGTGAACATCAAGGTTAGAGGAACTGTTGTTGAGAAGGCAGCTTTAAAATTCAATGTGGATTCTAGACTCATGTCAAGACTTTAAAACAGAGTTAAGGCTCTGCTTTCAAACTGCTCTATTTACACACACCAAGTACCTCGGATTTTAGACTTTCATACAGTCTTTTCATTATATGTTAATATTTAGTGTCATCTCTAACACAGAGCAGGCTTCCATATTTATGTGGATCTCAGTTTTCATTCTCTTTTTTCTTTGATTTACTTGACTACGTTTCATAAACTTCTATAATGAATCTTGTTTATCTGTGATGCCAAATATCAAAATGTTAACATTTCCTCATGAATTTTAGGCTATTATTGATCCTTACCCTTCCATATACATTTTAACACTATCTTGTACATTTCTGTCAGAAATGTTAATGGAATTATGATTAGGATTGTTTATTTATGGATGATGTGGCAGAGAAATAAATCTTTATGATAAGGTTTCCTAACTATAAACATGATCTATCATTCCATTTGTCTACATATTCTTTGAAAATAACGTTAAACATTTTCCTTGAAGGCTTAGAGAAGGCAAATTCTCTCTTTACAAAATTAGGCTGTGGTCAGTCTTGGACAAATTAACCGTCCTTTCTTCATAGAAATTTAAAAATTGATTTTTAATATAACTCTGATTTTTTCATAAGGGTCTTATGCAGTAGAAATTGTTAGCATTTGTTAAGACTTAATTTGCCCTAATATATAGACAATTGAATAAATATCCATTTGGAATAAAAGTGTTTTCTCCACTTTTGAGAAACACATCTAAATAATTTCATTTACTCAGTTGTGTTAATTGTGTTATTTAAATCTTTTACATTTCTGATTGACTTATTTTTTCCCATTTTTGTTATTTTTTTACCTCCTTTATGTGATGTGAAACCATGTTTCTAAGTGAAAATATGTTTAGAATGTTTAGAATTATAATAAACTATTTCTAGAATTTTTGGAATGCATAGTTCACTTACTAGACCTGAAGCATAATCAGTATCTCTACCTTCTGCCTGAATAGTTTAAGAACCTTGTGATCATTTATTTCCTCATAAGTATTTTTTTTCCATCATTTAATGCCTTTTTATTACTCCTTGTAGATTAGCTGTTTTATTTACATAATAAATGTTTGTTTATATTTACCCCCAGTTTAACATTTCCCACAAAACTCTCCTGGTTCATCCAATCTCCCCACTGGGAATATTATTTTCCTTTGTGTTACTATATATATATATCTTATAAGCTTCTTTGGTGAGATTCAAGTCACAGTAAATTCTCAAAATTTTCTTTCTCTAAAACTGCCTTGATTTTATTCACATTCATGCAATGTAAGCATGCGTGTATATGGAAGTTAATATGAAAATGATTATACGACTGTATGTATAGTGATGGAGAAAGATCCAGAACTTGGTGAGGTGGAGTGTAGATATTCAAGTGATTCTGATGATTTAAAAGAATGCATATTGCCTTCCAAAATATATAATAGTTATTGAAAGTCATTACTGAAAGCACCAGGGATAGAACAATTAAAATTTTGAAAAATATTGTAGTGTTATCAAATGGTTATGACCTGAATTTGCTAACTAAGCTGAAACTTGTCATCTATTGAAATATCACTATTAATAAATAAGGAGCTGTAGTGTTGCAGTGCCTAAGGTATTTGACTGCTGACCAGAAGTTTGGTGGTTTGAATCTACTAGTTGCTCTGTGGAAGGAAGATGGGGCAATCTGCTTTCCTAAAGATTTACTGCCTCAGAAACCCAATCAGGGTCACTGAATCAGAATATACTCAATGGCAGTGAGATTAATAAAATATTTTTGAAGAGAGAAAAGTTCATTCACTGAGCCTAGAAATAATCACTTTTTAAATTTCTTTGATCACTTCTAAAATAGCAAGTCTGGCTTTCTTTAATTTGATGTCATAATATGCTCTTATTTATGAGAGAACTTGTAGATGTATTTATAAGGTTAGTAATAATTTTCAATAATAGAAATAATTTAGGGGACTACCATACTTTCTAGGGAAGATGAGAACATGATGAACTGTATTTATTTATTTATCTCTATTTTGCTCATTAAGCTACATTTTCAAAGACAGCATGTTAAACACTCAATTAAAAGCAATGATGTGCATCATTTCCATGCATTATTCTTTGGCATGCAACCGAAATTTTTAGTTCAAGAGAAAAGTAAAAGATTTGTGCTGCCTAATTGAACATACAACCTAAGTGATGCTCTTTTTTAAATTTCAAGGCATATAGTGCTTTCAATTTAATCTTTAGCTCATTAACATGCATTTTAATTTATGCTGTCATTCCTTGTAAGAAAACATACTTTTCCCTCTAGAAACATTTCTAAAATGTCTTTTATAACCCAGAAAACATCTTGAAATTGTTTAAGTACTTAAAAAACAACATCAAGGTGCAATTATTTCTAAATTTAAAAGCAAATTTTTTTTCTAGAAATCATTTTCCCATATTTAGCTTGTAGTCATCTTTTGCAGTTTGGAAATGTATTTCTGAAAATGATTTTATCATCTAATATGTTTAATTTTCTGTTCAATAAAATCAGCCATTTATATTTTATTTTATCTAGTCATATAGAAATGTAAGACAATATGACTTTTGGAGATTTGGAAATAT